GTGGGACCGTGATGAGTTCAAGAAGCCAACAGTCCACGTGCGTCTGCAGAGCGGAGATGAGCTGAAAGAACAAAACCATCGTTACTCCAACCGAACATCAATGAGAGCCGACGCTCTGCAGACTGGAGACCTCAGCCTCACTCTGAGGAACCCTACAGTCTCTGACAGTGGAACCTACACCTGCACCACCCGGAAGTATGGACGAGATCTGAGGCGGACAGAAGTATACCTGAGGGTCAAAGGTCAGTGCTGTCAACAGTCAGAGTAGAAGTGAACTCTGATGTGAATCATGTTCGATGATGGTGTGGTTGTTTGCATTGATTACAGAACCTCCACTCTGGCCCAGAGTCCTCGCAGGTGCCCTGCTTCTCCTGGTTGTCCTGATTGTTGCCTTTGGCGTCATCCTGTATTGTGAACATAAAAGGCTTAAGACTGTAGAAGGTACGTGAGTGTGTTATAAAGTGTGCACGGTTTACAGTGAGCTGAGATTCAGTGGCTTCACCCTGCTGTTTGGTGCAGTAAAGAAATGCTGCTGAACTTAATCGGTGATGTTTTAGTTCCTTCTTCCTTCACGTTTCTTCCAAGCATTACCTCTGAAGGTAGTGAGATCTGCTTGTCATCACACCCGTGTTAATCACTGACACAATCAACGGAGACATGAAACTGTAAATCTGCTGCTTCTGTAATAGAGCCTGCTGTAGCTGATGAAAGAACTTCCACAGGTAAATACATAAAAAGAAGAAGGTGGAAAAGGAAAAGCATGTGAAGAGTTACACCATGTAACATTAGAACAACTTTTTCGGGCGGAGCTGCTCATTTCTGCTCCACAGGTAACGACACCTGCTGAAGCAGTGGACATCACTGCGCCCCAGCATGATCCATACCTACAGGTTAAAGAAGCTGACCGCACTCCATGAGTGTCTGGCAGGACAAATGAACCAGCCGCTAACGGATGAGACACACCTGGAATAACTGACTGAAGGCTGGACAGTCCTGATCCCCAAGGATCCCCTGAAGGGACCGGTCTCACCCAACTACAAGATGATAACCTACCTCAGGACCACATGGAAGCTCCTGTCAGACATCATAGAGGCTAAGATTGTCATGTGAGGTTATGCAGCCTGCATGTGGACTCAAATCCAGACACTCGTGCACAGAAGAAAAAAAAAAACTTAGAATGGCAGCTTTATTTATTGGAAAAACATCCATCATAACATAAACTCACAGAAAAACAAACCAAAACCTTGAGTATGAAACTCAGAACAACACACTGGGAAACTAGAAACACAGAACTAAAACTGAAACCAGAAACAAATAGAGGCTTACAGCACATGAGGAGGTACGACGTGACAAAGGGCAAAGGAAAACACAGGGCTAATATACACAAGGGAGTAACGAGTGAATGGGAAACAGAAAGAACCCAAACAGGGATCCTAGAGTACTTAGAGCTGTATCAACAGGGACCTTAGAGCCTTCATCAGGCGTCACAAGCACATGTTGCATTTACCAGGGACAGCTGCATA